TGGATATGTGTAAAATTATGTGTGTTGACATATCAACTGTCTTTACATGCTTGAAAGAATAAATAAATAAATAATAAATAAATAAATAATTTGCAGATTATCCAGATTAACTAGATTAATACTGTTTCTGGAAGTACAAATTGCTGTTAAATGCCATTTTCCCTTTCTCTGAGAAACACCAAAGATCCATTACTCCCATTTCACTGGAGTGACACAATTTGTCAAAATATGTACTGAAATTACATGGTTTGTAATTTGGGGCAACTGACCCCACTCAGCCACTTTTGGATACAGTATTTAATGGTATATCACTTGCCACTGAATCTCCTCCATGATAGCGGTGACTGATGCACACTGGCACCATAATTTCTCTCTGACTCCAGACATTTGTACTGTATATCAATACATCACTTCATCTGGACTTACTGAACTCAGTAGCAATGACTGAAATATTATGCCAGGCAGTCTCCTCTCTGTCCAGACTTTTGAGCAGGAACACAGACCCATTCCCTGGATGGACATTGAACAGGTGGTCCATGTCAGTGCGACGGTCGATAGAGTATCTGTAACAAGCAAAACAGCAAGAACGTGAGAAACGGCTACGTTAAGACACAGTGTAGGATTAACTACAGTAACCTTCACCAGGGAGGGCGAATAATTAATTCCTCTCAATCTGCGATAGAGACGAGCACTTGGTGATACAACCAAACCAGAAATGATGTGAAGCACTGTGAAGTTCCTGTAGCTAAGTCTAAGTCTGTGAAATGTTAAAGGTACAATGTGAACTCATATATGTTGAATTACTGTGGACCTGAGCTGCTGTGTGAAGCTGTTTTCATTTCATCCCTTGGGACTGTGTAGTTTAACCGTGGCCACAAAAAAAACCCCAAAGAGCCACAGTGTTTTTCATTAGCTCAGATTAAACGTGTTTCCATGGAGGGCCAAGAACTTATCAGCATAAATGACAAATTGTTTACCACAGTAAAAACAAGTACCTTCATTTACCCAGATTTTTACTATAAACTGAACTCTGGCACTGAAAAGTGAAAACAAGGCAACAATTAAACATTTTCAAAAATTAAGTTATTTACTTCCCCCCCTGGATTTTCAATGATAAGGTTGCTATCTAGCTAATTTTTTGTGTGTTATGTACAGAGTCAGGCCATGATGAGCTTAGCCTGTTTCAAAAATACACCTGCAAAATCTTCACTAATGGACACAAATTGCATTTATTTATCCTGTAAATAAACTGTAATTTAAAAACAATCACTTACTGTTTCAGGGGGAATGATGTGTTGTAACATTTTCTTACCCATTTATCTATTTCATGCTACGCTAACTAGGCTAACCAGGTCCTCGCTTCAATTTTGTGTATAAGTTTGATCTCTTAATACTGACCTCCCTATCTGTTTCTGAAACACAGCAAATTCATGTATTTCCAAAAATACAAAGTAATTGCTGTAAGGTGTGCCCATACACACCTTAAGTGGCACAGAGTAAGGTGAAGATGTGTTTGTGCATATGGGAAATGTGTTATTGAAGCATGAAAAATCTGCACTTATACTCAGGAAAAATAGGAGGGAGAGCAAAGGGGAGATACTAGAAGGAAATAACAGAAATAATTGGAGTTCCTCACAAAAATCCTCAAAAAATTTGAGCCTAGCTCATCTTTAGGAGCAACACAGTATGGCATCAGCTGGCAAGGTGCTAACTTGACCAATCAAATATGTGCAAAGACACATTTTTGTTAGATCAGTTGACACGAAGAGCCTATTTCTATTATTACTTTAAAGTCTAATAAAACACCTCACCAATTCAGTTCCTTGTATTTTTATGTTTATGGTCTCAACAACTGGCTATGAGTGTGAGCTGTGAATTTCCAAGCCACAAAATGATGCACAAACCTTGATCTGTAAAGTTGGACCAAAAATACAAACTGTGTTCAGCTGCTGAACTTGATATTCTAACAACTGGAATCACATAATTGTGCTGCACTGCAAGCTGCTGCTGCTTTCTGTCCTCTCCTCCTGTTCAATCTTACTGTAGGCTGCTCAAAACATCACAGCTACTTGAAACTCTCATCCCACTGTCTGTGGAGTGCTCACAGAGCATTCTCTATTTTTGAACTAGTTGGTGAATGTAGTTATTCACAGCTTCATAGCACTTCATAGATAATAGACCCGAGATGCCTTTGCTTCTGTCTTTTTCTGCCTGTCAAAGTGGAGGCGAACTGCTTTGTGAGCAGTAGCCGTATGTACATCGTCAGCGCCTGGTTCAAGGCTGGACTCACTATCTACTCAAAAATACAACATTAGACTGCTTTGAGCTCTTAATTATTGTTTTCCATAAAGAGATGCTGTATATTAATTGAAAAAGAAAACAGTGCCTCAGTACATCCAGGCTTGACCATAATTAGAAAGCACTCAACATTAAAATAATAATTCAACAACAATTTGAATAGATGATACAATCAAATACTCAAATGCACAAACACATAGGCATAACAGGAATTGTGTGTGTGTGTGTGCCCCTTATGACACATCATTATAAGAGCGTGCCATGGTCCCATGCTCGTTTTAATTGGAATATGTTCCGCATCACTTTGCCTTGTGGAGAAATAAAGGCTCAGTTCCAGTCTCCAGCTGTGCTCCTACCGGTGTCCTTTCTACCTACAGGTCATCTCCTGTCAGTTCAACACTAATTTTGTTGTGATCCAGTCATACTACAATATCCTACACTATGCTATATGATTGTTTAATCTTACCTCTTCTTCTCTATGTTCACACTGCACCATTTTCAAAATTATTTTTACATGGCTGCATCCATACTTTTTTGACTTAAATAGCCCTCTGAGAGCAGAAAAGTTTCATCTTATCTGAACTCTCTTAAAACTCCTGTAATACTCACTGTAACAGAACAAATTACTGGAGACTTTTGGCATTTTATTTTTCTGTAAGCATCCGAAAATTCCCAGGATGGATCAATGCCATTTGAGCAATGGACAGTTACTAACAGGAGAGCAACATTTCAAACTATCCTAATGCCAAGCAGCAACAATGAACAGCACTGAGGTGAGGCAGTGGGGTTTAAACATAGCATGTAGATGAAGGCTTCTGCTGTGCATGGACTAGCAATTTTCAAACACACCTGTATAGTCCATAAATGCCTTGGTTTCTAATCCCAAGAGTGATCATTATACAACCCATCTTATAACTTAACATATTTCTCCCTTTTCCCTTTTTTTCAGCTGCTTGTCATAACTCTTCACAAGCATTTAGAGCATATGCAAGGAAAAATCACTGTGGTTGAGTGGAGAAAATTATTTGGGTTCACAGATGCAGTTCCTTGGGTTCTTCATTTGTAAGGACCGGGAGACCAGTGAGTGAGATTAGTGGATCGGATAATCTGGTTTTGGTGTTCATGGAGTGGCTTCTCCTCTCTGTGTCACCTCAGCTCTCTGTGTGCCCATGTTTGACTGAGGGCAGGGCTCAGTTCCTCCACACACAGTGGACAGCAGCTAAGAGGGCAGGGTGCAGAGAGAGATGAAGTGAAGCATTACTGAAGGTGACAATCTATGGTCATTACTGCACAAGCAGTAAAACCTCCACGACTAAAAAGCCAATAAAAGAATTTATCAAAACAGCTAAACAAGCATAAACTTGCAGAGAGTTTTAAAGAAGAGGCTTTCTGTTGTTATCATTCTGAGATAATTAGAGATTATTTGGAGTTATGAGGGGTGCCAAGATAATCTAGAGCTACCCAAGATTAAAAGAGCAATATAAGAATGCCATTGGGACTTTAAAGGTGGGGACTAAGTGGTTGGTTTTGCATATGGGTGTCCAGTTTGTTTGCCCATCTCTGTTAAAGTGCAATGCACAGCTGTCTCCAGACAGTTTCTCGGAGATGCAGTGGAGTTATTCATTATGGTCAAGGCCTGCTCCATTCATGAATGTTCACCTTTCATTCTTACTTTTCTCATTGTTAAACACCGAGACAGCATCATTAATGCTATAGCCTTAAAAAATAACTGTGCTCCTACATTTCTGTGCAGTAAATGTTTTTCATTTCTTTGCACAAGTGCTCCTAAAAATAAATGAAAGTGTTGAGCACTGCTTTAGAGAATCAAGATTCATTTGAAGTCACACGTCCTGCTCTGCTATTTTAAATGTCCAAAATAGCAGAGCAGGAAGTGCAGGTATACTGTAAAAACTTTCAGATATGCGAGTCCTGAGCTACAGAAACAGCCTTCCTGTTTTCAGTCTCATTAATGCAGAATGACTGCTTTAAAATCCACCTGAAATCACAATTAGTCAGAAAGTGATTAGCCGTGTTTGGGAAGCTACTTTGAAAGCAAAGCTTTGCAAGCTACCAATTACTTCTCTTTGGAAGAAGTTGAACTACAGCAAAGATATTCTAGGGGAAAATCTAGTTTGGTGAGCTGACACTACTTAAGAAAAGTAGTTCAATCTACTTTGTCAAAAACAGATTAAACTGAGTGTGTATGTGATACAAACCTAGAACAACATATAATACAAAGTCACTTGACAGCAAAACATGTTACTCAGTTGAGTTGATTACCTGAGACCTAAACCTGTCCTAAATACAGCAATACCATTTGCTTTTCACAAGGACAAAACTGCAAGCAGTGTTAGATTTCTGTGTAAACAAATCTGGATTTTGTATTAACCGACTACAGCAAAACAGTAATGAGAAAAATATTAACTTCCGCTTTTTATACTGCTTGACTGACTTGAACGCTGGTCTAAATAATTGGCCTATCTTTTTACATGTAGAAGCAGAATCTCTTGTTTATATGACACTTGAACAGCCTTTCAAAGCTCTTATCCAATGTTCTTATCCATTTGGCACTGAACATGTCCTTGCCAACACTGAAAAGCCACTCACATGTTGTAATTGAAAAAAAATGATGGTAATTGCTTACAAGGTAGTACACATCACCCAAACAAACCAAACCTCAAAATATAACTGATGTAAGCAGTAGTCTGTAAATGGAAACCAAAGCTGGAATTAACAGTTTGCTAACATCTTTTTTATAACCTATTTTTAATATATTTAAAAAAATGATCACATATATAAACTGAGGTTTGGTCTTACTTGACCATGCTGTGAGCTCCATCGGGGTCCATGGCACTGACTGAACCCACAGCCACGCCCACTGCAGCGTCTTCCTTCAACTCCATCAGATAACTGGCTTTGTCGAACAATGGTGGCTCATCGACATCCTCCACAGCAATGCGAACGGTTGCCATGTCTTTGGAGCCTGCAGACATGAAGCGAGGGTCCATCTGGGTGTTCTGGACCTGGATCTCTACTGTGTATGATGGCTTCCTCTCATAATCCAAAGGCTGCAAAGAAAAAAAAGAAGCACAGGAAGGATTTACAAGGATCGCTTCTGTTGGTATGGTCATGGTATCGTTGTAAAGCTAAACAGCTAATTCATTTGATCCATTATTAAGATAAAAACATTGATTAGTGCAGCTTCAAAGACCCATTACCCAATTACTGAGAATATTTGTACTATTATGACAAAACATACTGGATAATGAATCATACTAGCCCAAAACACAGACTGCTATTTCACTATTTTACATTAAAGGTGAGAATTTGTTATACTGTGCATAGTCATAGTTATAGAGGCTTTGATACGATGTACAATTCTACATCTACTTGTAATCCAGTGAAGGAATTTGATTCAAACTATTATTTAATCTGATATCTGAGAATTAGAGTGTCAAAGGTGAGATTTATGGACTGTAAGGACTCATTTCTTTTATGTATCAGCGCTACTGACTGAATGATAAGGAATGAAAAGAAAATCACTAGCACAAATTTAAAAAAGTGATGTAAAACACTTGAAAAACTCAATTTGATGACAATTAAGGTTGATGAATTCAGTTCCTTGACATCAGCTGTGACAACATGGCATGGTTGTTGTTTCAAATGAGAACAAAGCTTCAGATTGACTTGAACAGCTCTACATGCACTGTCTTTAGTTCCTCGGAGAAATCCTGGATATTGTCCTCATCTCGTATCCTGCTGACACAATATCATTACTTCTTTGTCGAAGCTCGCAGACTTTCTTCAGTTGTGTCAGCAAGAGGAACAAAAGAATTTCTAAATATCAGTTGTGATTGTACATCAGTAAACACACTCTCTGTGAGGACACTGTGAATATCTATAATCCAGCAACATAAAAAGCCCCAGTCTTGTGTGTCTGCTGCAAAGACTAGCACTGGGGGTTGTGAAGGTAAAGATGAATAAGTTTAATTTGGTTTCTTTCATCTGTCAAGCATGTCCAGGCTTTGCATATTTAACAGTATGTGTAGAACAGACTACGTGGGCAGGATCCTTATGAGTCCAAAGTGTAGGATCTGCAGAATCACTGCTTTGGAATTAATTAGACTTAACCAATGCCGTGAGAAAAATATCAAGATAATTAAAAGCTGGCCTTATTTCAACATGGGCATTAGGAAAGCTATGGATTTCACTTATTCACTTATTTACAATAGATGCAGTTTGACTTGTGTGCTTCATTTTGTGACAATTTAAAGTACAGCTACTAGAACTGATACTTCTGCTATTTACTTCGACTGGAATTTATATTTATATATCACTTCACTTTTTTCAGATGATATTCAGTTTATTGTGATTCCCGTAAACTGTTCTTGTTGGTGCCCTACACAAATGGAATAATTTATAAATCTGGTTGTCAGATTAGCGCTACAAATGTGAAGAGTACTTGGAGAGCACACTTGACTCCTGCTCCCTCTCACCTTGCTGACAGTGATGACACCCTCCTGGGTGTCTTTGTCAGTGGAGATCTCAAACATGTCCATGCCGTCTCCACTGACGATGGTAAAATACATCTCTGCATTCTTCCCAATATCTCTGTCAGTGGCTTGAATTCTCCCAACTGGGGTACCTGACTTGGATGACTCAGGAACTCTGAACTGGTAAATACCTGAAAACAGAGATGAGCACTAACAGTCAGAGCCACGATATCTGCCATATTGTGTATGTCCATATGATAAACTGTAACCAAGGTTTACAGTTTTTATATTGTGGTACCATAAGGCTGTACTGCAATCAAAATAACTCAGACACATTTTCTACCTGTTTTTATTAACCTAATGTTTGTTCATTATTGTATGTTACAAAAAGCAGATAATTTTTCTCATCAGCTGTGCACGACTGTGTTTAGAAAAGAAATGAGTACGAGTCTAGATCATGCTATTAACAAACAACAACAACAACAACAAAAAAAAACAAACGATAATATTCTCTTTGGAAGAAGTTGAACTACAGCTATTAAATGATAATATGCACCTTGGGCACCAGAAAATCATTGTAAAATATGGTAAATAACCATCCTTCAAATACATTTAGATACATTTTTTCCTTTAAATTTTAAATGAAATCTTGTGCATTTAAAGGTTTATTTTATGTAAATGAATCTGTGATGCTAGCCTTTGGAGCCCAGAGATTTTCCTTTATGAAAATTCTAAAACAGATCATTTTAAGATTATTTATAACAATAAACTGCTTTTTGGAATTTATAAAGCAATTTATTAGTGAATAATCATTGTAATGTCAGAGAATGAATTTTGACCAGTTAGTTATAGCTGTTGAAGTGATTTTTACAAGAGAGATAGAAAGAGCTGGTTCCAGTGATTTTGTTAGATGCCAAATGTACGGGGGTAGACACTGAATTCAGTACTATCCTTTATCGTGTTTTATATAATTTTTATAATTATAAAAAATATCAACCTAGGCTTAATGTACAGTAATATGTATTGCAGACACACGGTAAGTTTCCACCATGAATGGGTTCTTCACGCTGGGGTAAAAAAAAGTAACTTAAGAGTTTTCACTCTCACACAAGTCTGCTATTTCAGACTGTGAAACAGTAAATGGTAAATATTTGTAAAATTATTATGTGAAAAATTGAACTTTTCTTTTTAAAAAAAATTAACTTTTTTGGTAATTCACAGCTACAGGATTTTCCTTTTATTTTTGTCATGCAATTTCACAGTATGTTTTTTGTAATTTTATTAACGTCTGTAAAATAAACAGGAACATTCTGTAAAGCTATAGTATTTTTTTTTACAATGCAGCTACCCTCAAATTGGATAAAGAAAAACTCCCCCTCAAAAACTTTAAACTCAAACAAAGACGACAAAAATCACATTACAGCATAAATGCTGAACAGAGAAACATCTTTTTTATCTTCATAAAGCTAAACCTCATAAACCAGGTTAGACAGGTAGACAGCAAGAACAAAAGGAGCCTTCTCAGTTGAAAAAAGTGATGTAAATGCTGATGGAAGCCATGCGCTGAAACAATGTCCCTCCACCATAGTGCTGACGATCATTAAAAAAAAACAAAAACAAAAAAACATTTCAATGTATTTTTTGTAAGCATGATATATCCTTTTGTTCTCTGGGATAAGTGCTAACACTGTGTTTTGCCATCAGAAGAGCTGGCCGCTACTGAGATTTTTCCTCTTCATTGTGAAACAAACAGCACCAGCCTATAGAAAAAAGGCAGCTTCTCTGAGTCACCGAATAGAGTCCGAGCACACAAACACACCTAAGTGAATGCAAATGAGATGTCACTGTGCTATATGTACCTGGGGTAGTTTCATATCAGGATATCTCATTATTCAGGCTGCGTGTGTGTGTGTGTGTGTGTGTGTGTGTTCACATGCTCCAACTCAAAGATCCAGTGGTGTGTATAAACCACTTGAGTGAATAATTATAAGCTGCTGAGACACAGCAGGCATCATTCTCCCTGGCAGCTAGACAGGACTCAACCTACCACTGTTTTAGTATATGTGTTTGTGTGTGTTATCCACAGAGAGAGAATGAGATAAAGTATGTGCTCATGTGTATACACAATACAGACATATTATCAAGAGAAGGGAAAGCACACTGCTGCAACTGCAGCTGCCAGAATCCGCTATCTTTTTTAGCTAAGACTCACTTCATAGCCTTCATAACCTATGTGTGTTTACATGTAAATGTGTGTATCAGGCTAGCTGCACAGCTGGCTATCCACAGTAAGAAAAAAACAAAAACAAAAAAAGGTACAACAACAGCAACAGTGAAAGTGAAGTCATGAAAATTTGATTCACATGAGTGAGTCTAATAGTGTGGTAAGAAGTGGTAACCTAAAAGTCTGAAAACCATAGTTTCTTAAAGAAAAATCTCTCTGTAAAATGTCTAGTAAATTTAATAGCACAACGTTTTGGATCTTTGTCAGGCATCGGCAAGTCAACACATCAAACAAATAAGGTAATATAAAGACACAAGCACATTCATCCCTCAGGTGTCTGTAGTCATGCATGACTGACAGTCAGTCTCAGGCTGGACCACAATGAACCCCAGCTGCTCCCAGGTTTTGTCTGTTAAAAACACTATATATGTTTACCATTAGTTTGGAGTTAGTTGATATCAAGATCTACGTAGAATATAATGTTCCTCAAGCACACCTCAGTTTGGACACTTTCTCTGTATCATTCTTAAGAAACCTGTGAGTAATGCATGTCCAAAAAATAGTCTCCTTCATTTCCTTTCTCCAGTTCCTGGGGTAATTTCTGTAAAATTGATCTTAGCTGTTGCTCCGTATTTCTCCTAGGGTGAGGTTTAGGAGCAAAAGTTCAAAATAAGAATGTGCTTTACATCTCAGGAGACAAAGGAAAGACAAGTGTGAGCAGCACAGTACTCCTCTGGGAAAATATAAATAAGTACTAAGGGTAAAGCATACAGACTACAGATAAGATAAGACTTTATTAGTACCACAACAGGGACATTCACATCGTTACAGCAGCAAAGGGGAGAGAAACAGGCAGTCAGTGTTAAGAATCAAAAAGTAACAGACAAGGTATTATCAATATAGATATAAACAATTGTAGTATATAAATAATAAAAACAAGACATATTGCACACTGGCATGCTGTGTATTCACAGTTATTCAGTCTGTGGGTGTGTGAGGTCGACTTGCGGGGGTAGTCTACTGGGAACAATGCTGGTTGTACAGCCACTTGGCGTGAAGCAGTCTGGACAGTCTCTACAGTAGCCTGTAGTCTGGCCGTGTTGAACTTGGCAGCCCTCAGATAATGTGTCCAGAAGCAGTGTTGCAACGACAGTGGGCTTTTTGTGCAGAGAGAGCTTTTGCCAATCCACCTTACACATGTAACCAATAAAGTAGCACACTTGCACTTTAAGACTACATATTTTCTACCCTGACAGAAATACTAAATACTAGTTGGTGGAAATTTTTTTTTTAAGGTAATGAAACAAACTGCGGTCTCAGAAACAGAAAGAAGAAATCCACAACCGTAGTCAGTTTTTCCAATTATTAGCCTGACCTAGAAATCCTCAGTTGTCCTTGTAATGCTTTAGCAGCAGAACTGTGGCTGATTTCACTGGGATATTCATTCCATGAAACAGATCTCTCATGGGAGTTTGTTTGAGTAAAGTGCTAAGTAGCTCCCTGTCCTAAGTCACGTTTAGTTCATGCAGAAATATTCACACTTATTCTAGAGCGATAATGAAATATATAGTCTTACTTTCCTTAAAAAGAATGGTGCCCAAACTCTCATGAATTACAAGATGGAATAATCCACCCGTTTTAGCCAAGACTAACTGCTCGTACATGAAGCAGCCAAATACGAAACATGGTAATGTTTTTATATGTTTTGTGTTTTGTCTAATGGCGTAGTGACTGAAGGTGGAACTGAGCGAGGAGGCGAATTGCTTTTAGCTGCCATCAGTGAGACGTCCTTTTCACTGTCCGTCCCTGTTAATTTCATTGGAGCTGTAGAGAGAAGTAGAATGTGCAAACAGCATGCATGCACTTAAACATGCACATACAGTGGGTACGGAAAGTATTCAGACCCCCTTAAATTTTTCACTCTTTGTTATATTGCAGCCATATGCTAAAATCATTTAAGTTCATTTTTTTTCCTCATTAATGTACACACAGCACCCCATATTGACAGAAAAACACGGAATTTTTGACATTTTTGCAGATTTATTAAAGAAGAGAAACTGAAATATCACATGGTCATAAGTATTCAGACCCTTTGCTGTGACACTCATATATTTAACTTAGGTGCTGTCCATTTCTTCTGATCATCCCTGAGATGGTTCTACACCTTCATTTGAGTCCAGCTGTGTTTGATTATACTGATTGGTCGTGATTAGAAAAGCCACACACCTGTCTATATATCAGGCTACAGCTCACAATGCATGTCAGAGCAAATGAGATTCATGAGGTCAAAGGAACTGCCTGAAGAGCTCAGAGACAGAATTGTGGCAAGGCACAGATCTGGCCAAGGTTACAAAAAAATTTCTGCTGCACTTAAGGTTCCTAAGAGCACAGTGGCCTCCATAATCCTTAAATGGAAGACGTTTGGGACGACCAGAACCCTTCCTAGAGCTGGCCGTCCGGCCAAACTGAGCTATCGGGGGAGAAGAGCCTTGGTGAGAGAGGTACAGAAGAACCCAAAGATGACTGTGGCTGAACTCCAGAGATGCAGTCGGGAGATGGGAGAAAGTTGTAAAAAGTCAACCATCACTGCAGCCCTCCACCAGTCAGGGCTTTATGGCAGAGTGGCC